TACTTGCCCCACCTGCCTCCCCCCACCCCCGCCTGCCCTCCCGCTGCCTACTCCTCTGCCACGGTTTTCCCTGCTGCAGTGGTGGGAGAAATGAATTTAAGACAATCCTACAATAATTAGATTCTATACATGGAAAAGTATAATGAAGGTATAGATTTTCCATGTATAAAATCTAATTATTAGAGGGTCATCTTAAACTCAGAGTTATCTTGGATTTGGATAAACTTGGTATATTGCACTCAGGCAAAGTTGGGTAAAGATCAGACTTACGAAAGAAGCTAATGAAATATGCCTCTGTGTAGTATCTTCTCTGAATAAGAAGCAGGTTTTGGAGTTGCAGAGCGTTTTTCAGGATCCAATCATAAAAACAATTATAAATAATATAAATAATAGATTGTTATAAATTCTAGATAAGAGTTAAATACTGCTGCTTTAAATACTACTAAGCAGATAAGGAGTGAAAGAAACAAAAAGATAAAAATCGGCAGTGCTACCATATTAAATATACGAAGGAGAAACCCTTTATTGTTTCTAGTACATTAGATATTATTAATAGAAAATGTGTATTGTATTGTTCCAGTTATAAGTCAACTCTGAATAGAATAGACGTTGACCACATATTTTCTGGTTCAAGTCTAAGAGAAACAGCTTTTCCCTAATATAAGTTGCTAAGTGCTAATAAGGACCTTGAACATTATTGCCTTTATACAGTCCCACTAAAAATATTAAACTGAAAATGCACTGAAAAATATTGTGACTTGGTATTTTTATTGCATTCACAAAAATACTGCAAATAAAAACTCATGATTGTAGGGAGACTGGTTGAATGTTAACCCTGTGTATAAGCTGAGTGTGGTCTTTATGGTTCTTTTGGAGGACAAAAAGGTAACATTGCATCTTAACAATGCAATAAAGTTAATTATGACCTACTAAGTCAATATGTATATTGCAGGAGCCATCTGACGCTGTGAATTCCCTTGGTCTGCGTATTGACATTGGCCTTGCAAATCCTGGCTCTAATCCTGTCCTTGATGCATATTCTCCTGCATCTGTATCCTACAGTGTAAGTACAGAACTCAACTACTGGACAGTATAAAACCAAATATGTCACAAGTGGGATGATGATGGTCCAGCATAGTAGCTAGCTACAAGGTCAGGAACCTAATTCTAAGGACAGGAGTCAAGACAGATTCATAATCAGGGTCTAGAGCTGGTGGTCAGGCCAGGCCAGAAAGCTAGAATCAGTAAGCCATGGATCAAGCCAGGATTGGAGAACCAGTGTTGGTAGCTACAGATGAAGTTGGGTCAGGTAGCCAGAGTCAGAAAGCTGTAGATTAAACCAGAGGCAGAAGGGTCAGCAGAGCTTTATGAATTGAGCTGGGCTGCAGCTGAGAGTCAAGCTTAGGAGCTTTCGCTTAGAAGCTCAAGCTTGGGAGCTTTCACTTTAGTTTAGATAGATATGGATTGGTGGTAGCCTTAAAGTCCACCTTACCTAGGATTGGAAAAACAGTCTTACTATCCCTGTGCCTTATTTTCTCATCTCTAAAAGGGGATGCTTTCAGGGAAGTTGAAGGTAGAATAGATAGAGTCAGGTAGGGCATCAAGTTCTAGTCTTTCAGGAAAACGCAGAAGATAACTTTTTTCCATGTCTGTAGATTCCTTTTATCAAAAACTGTGGTGAGGATGAACTCTGCATCTCTGAACTTGTTCTTGATGTTCAGCAGAAAACAGATGATGGGTAAGTGTCAACTAAAATTTTTGTACAAAAAGTGTTTTAATCAATGATACATTGAATGAAAACCTGAGAGTTTCTTTTCAGTACAATATCTATTCAGAACTTGTAGAAAAAATGTATTAATAGTACTTCATGTTATATCATTAATGTTTAAATGTAGGTTCACATCAGTATCACCACGCTATAAGGCAACTATTATTAAGGAGATTTTCAGCCTGTCTTCTGTGGCAGAACCTGTTAAAACCAAATGAAGCCATATGGGCTATATATAGTCAAGACAGTACAATTAATTGAGGTCAGTTTTAAGAAGCACTTTCACAATACGTATGGCCAGCGTACAAAGTGTTTGTAAAATGATAGTTCTGTTTATGTAGAACAGCAAAACAGACAGTACTGTCCATCTGATTCATTGCTGTCGAATGCCTTTCAGTGATCTGTAGCTGCAGTAGCCACTTTATTTACGATAAAAATGATCGTTTTGTTTTTTTTTTTTTCCAACAGCAAACAACCCTTCATTGTGAGCAGCAAGAATAGAAGGATAACATTTACTGTGAAGCTCAGGAATGAGAAGGAAAACGCATATAACACCAGAATCCTGGCTACATTTTCAGAAAACTTGTTTTTCTCTTCATCATCTGTATCAGTATGTAGTTACGTCCACCTCAACTCTACCTATTTTACTTCTGTTTTTTCTTGTTTCTCTGATAAGTGTTTTTCTTTCTAGTAGTCCTTATCTCAGCAAAGGCTTACTCCATCTTGTTCCATAAGATGCAAGAAATTTTCTATTTCTTCCAACTCCCTCTTTACAATTAGCTAGAACTAAGTGTAACATACCAGTTTATTTAGATCAAGGAGGAAGACAGCCAGCTCAGCATAAGAGCTGGCACCCTAGCTAGTTTGATTTCAACTCACTGGTGAAGTCATCTTTTCCTTACCTTGGGACTTGGCATCTTGCACATACTGCTTTACTCCAAACAACACTTCTGAATACTGTTACTAGGGCACAAACAATTCATACTTGATAAATCAAGTGTGCAACAGCGATAGTTTTAAAACACAGACTTTGGAGTTAGAAATAATGTTACTGCCAAGGTCACATATTCCAACTAGATAGTTAATCAGCTTGGAATGATCACTATACCAGAAACTGTGATTTTAATGGATTTTTTTCTTTGTTAAAAAAACAAGAAAAGAAAAGAATGTTACAGGTTATTTTAGGAGAACTACAGTAAATCATTTGTCTGCAGTGTTGCTCCCAACCAGTTCAAAGAGGATAAAATCCAGACCCCAGTGTCTGGCCCAAGTAGGAAGGCTGCTACTGTTGAGGTCAGGATAGGGAAGGAATTCAGTATATTATTCAAAACTAGCTCTTTTGGGGGGAAAGAACTGGGATCATTTCTGAAGGGGCAAATCCACTGCTATTGTCCTGGCCCATCCATGGGCTGTAATCTCCTATAAGCTCCTAGGTGGTAGATTTGTAAAAAGCAAGGCTTGATACCCTTCAAGGAAATTGAAGAGCAGATGGCTTTCCCCCTGCCCCCCCCCAGCTTTCTGCTGTAACACAGAAGGCAGATCATTGACTAAAACATATATGAAGCTGGACTGTACAATGGAAGCTAAGGAAAGACCTGCTTATAGTCAGGTTTGCTTTCTAAAGGGTTAAATCTGGTTCCTGTTACAAAACTATGGCTTTTTCAAGGTTTTAGATATAGAATCCCCATTTTGCACATGAAAGCAACATAAAAGTTAGGTGTAATTCCTTCCAATCTGTATTCCTTAGGAAAGTAAGGCTGCAAGGAACCCTGCAAGGTCATCTAGCTCAGTCCTTTGCTTTAGGCAGGGTCATCCTTTATGACCCATCCTGGCCAAGTGTCTATCTAAACTTCTCTTGAAAATTTCCAGGGATGGAAATTCCACAGTCTTTAGGTAGCTGTCCAATGCTTGACCACACTTATAATCAGGAAGTTCCTCCTAATCACCAACCTAAATTTCTTCGGCTCCTAGTCCTTTTCCCATGTCAAATCCCCCCATAGTTTTCTCTTCTCCAGACTAAATAACCTAGTCCTTTCTTATGTTCCTCATAAGTCATGTTTTCCAGGCCTGTAATCATTTTTTGTCATTCTCCGCTGGACTGTTTCCAATCTATCCACATCTTGCCTTATCGGCAGGGATCCGGGTTTTCTCTGATAAAAAAAAAAAATTCCCATTTTTTTATTTAAAAAAGTAACCCAAAAGTAACTATATATATATATATATATATATATATAGAGAGAGAGAGAGAGAGAGAGAGAGAGAGAGAGAGAGAATATGAATGAATGAATCATGGAAAAATGTGGAATTTGGTTTACTTTTTTTAATCCAAAAATTGGAGATTATTTTTTATCAGAGAAAACCAGGATCCATAGATTCATAGATGTTAGGGCCAGAAGGGACCTCAGCAGGTCATCAAGTCTGACCCCCTGCCCTGGGCAGGAAGGAGCGCCTGGATTAGACAACCCCAGCTAGGTGCTTGTCCAGTCTTCTCTTGAAGACCCCCAAGGTATGGGAGAGCATCACCTCCCTTGGAAGCCCATTCCAGATTCTGGTAACCTTTACTGTAAAGAAGTTCTTCCTAATGCCCAACCTAAATCTACTCTCTGTCAATTTGTGGCCATTGTTCCTAGTTACTCCAGGGACTACGCTCGTAAATACAGCATCTCCTATTCCCTGCTGCCCTCCCCTGATGAATTTATGGGCAACCACAAGATCACCTCTCAGCCTTCTCTTGCAAAGGCTGAAGAGATCTAGGTCCCTCAGTTTCTCCTCGTAGGGCCTTGCCTGCAGGCCTCTGACCATACAAGTGGCCTCCTCTGAACCCTCTCAAGATTCTCCGCATCCCTCTTGAAGTGCGGTGCCCAAAACTGGACACAGTACTCCAACTGCAGCCTGACCAGTGCCACATAGAGGGGAAGTACCAGCTCCCTGGACCTGTTCATCATGCATTTGCTAATGAATGATAAAGTGCAGTTAGCCTTGTTAATCACCTTGTCACATTGCCCACTCATGTTCACCTTGGAGTCAGCTATGACTCCAAGATCCCTTTCCACTGTTGTGCTGCTGAAAAGGTCATCCCGCAGCCAGTAAGTGTGTTGGTGGTTCTTTTTGCCCAGGTGCAGCACTTTGCACTTGTCCTTGTTGAACTGCAGCCTATTTCGTTCTGCCAATTTTTCCAACCTGTCCAGATCCACCTGGATCCATTCCCTACCCTCTGTGTGTTAACTTTGTCCCGTAATTTGGTATCATGTGCAAATGTGGACAGGGCACTCTCTACACCCTCATCCAAGTCACTGATGAAGACATTGAACAGTACTGGTCCAAGGACCAAGCCTTGTAGGACTCCACTGCCCACATCTTTCGAGGTCGATATCAACCTGTCCACCACCACTCTCTAGATGAGATCCCTAAGCCAATTTGCCACCCACCTGACTGGATAATCATCTACATCACAGCCTGTCAGTTTATTTATGAGAACGAAATTTGTCTAAGCATTTTGTGACCTGATCATAAAAAGAAACAAGGTTAGTCAGGCAGGATCTACCTACAATGAACCTGTGCTGATTTCCTTTCAGCATTATTTCCTTTGCTGGGCTCCCACAAATGTGATCCTTAATGATTTTTTCCAGAGTTTTTCCAAGAATAGAGGTGAGACTAACTGGCCTATAGTTTCCTGGTTCCTCCTCCTCTCCTTGAAAATAGGGACCGCATTGGCCCTTTTCCAGTCCTCTGGAACCTGACCAGAGCACCATGAGTGCTCGAACAGCTATGCCAGTGGCTCTGCTAAGACACTGGCCAATTTCTTCAGGACCCTTAGATAAAGTTTATCCAGCCCCACTGATTTGAACACATCCAGCCCCTCCAAGTGCTCCTTCACTAAGTCTGTGCTAACAGTTGGTGGGCTGGTGTCCCTCCTGTGTCTATCTACAGTCCAGTTGGGAGATTTGTCTTGGTCTGTGTCTAGGAATACAGATGCAAAGAACTCTCCAAAGGGCTCAGCCTTCTCCCCACTCTGTCACCAGTTGCCCTAGTTTGTCCTGTAGGGGTCCTATGCTATCCTGCACCTTTCTTTTCATCCCTATATACCTGAAGAAGGACTTTTTGTTGTCCTTAATTTTTGTCGCTAGCCTAAGTTATAATCCTGCTTTGGCCTTCCTAACTGATTCCCTGCAAGTGTGAGCCAGGGAGGTGTACTCCTCCTTGGTAGCTACCCCTTGTTTCCACAGCCTGTATACCTCTTGCTTTGCCCTTAGGCTTTCCTGGACTTCCATGTTCAGCCAAGAGGGCTTCTTGGCCCCTTTGCTCCCTTTTATGTGCAATGGGATTGTCTCCTTCTGCGCCCGTAGGATCACTTCCTTGAGGAACGACCACCCTTCCTCGACCCCCATTTCACCAATGCGCTTGAGCTTTAATGCCTCACTAACTAAGCCTCACTAAATAAGCACGCCCCTGCTTATCAGTGCCAAACAGAGTGGCAGAATCACTTCCCTTGATTTGCAACACACTCCTCTTAACCCAACATGCTGCTGGCTTTCTTTTGCAACACAAGCACACTGATGTCGCATTGAAAAAACAGTGCAAGTAAGTGTCTAGTCTTGTATCAAAAGCTAATAGCTAATATGGCTTTTCTATTTTTTTTTCTTCAGGGTGATGGAACTGAAGTTTCATGTCAGGTGGGCACTGCCCAGGAATCAGTCATTTGCCAAGTCGGCTATCCTGTTTTTAAAGAAGGAGAAAAGGTACCACTCAGATTTCATATATCAACACATTTGTAGTGATACCCACCACAAGTATGTCCTAACACATTACTGGTAAATGTTTTCTCATTAGAGTAAGGTTCAGTTCAAGTCACTGAGAGTAGCAGTCAAAGGCTGGTGATTCTACACAGTTTGGGAGAGAAGCACTTAAGCTACATGCTTCTCCCTACCTCCTGGACAATGGCTGAAATCTCTTCGTGCAGCAATTGGTTTGTAGCTCTCAGAGCACAGGGGTCGAGAGCAGAAATTCCCCCATCTTAACAATGTTCTCTCCTAAGAACTGAATGGATTCTTATCTGGGGATTCCTTCTGACTGAGCCAGTGGTGACTCGGAGACTTGCATGGGTCTGATTTTATAGACCCTCTTCCAACCTGCACCTAATATTATACAACCAGACCCAAACTCACAACCCATATGAGCAAGTCTTCTTACCCATGGACTGACCTGACCTGCTTTAGTCAAACCCATGACCTGATCCACACTGCTAACAGAAGTGGAAAAATAATCCCACATTTTCCCAGAAGCAGTAGTGTGTTAATTCAACCCAGCTCTGCAGTGTCTGTATATATTGGTCACTTCAACAGGGCGTTTTGGCGCTTTTATCTAATAGCTGATTCAATCAGTTGTTAGATAAAACCACCAAAAAAGCGCTGCTAAAGCTCTTGATCTGGCCATATGTTCGGTAGTTGCTGACAAACATGGAAAAAAAAACAACACACTTTTTACCAGAAGAAGCAGCATGTTAGCATTCAAAATGGCTGTGAAGGATATCAGACAAAAGGTAGGGTGTCACACCCTGATGTACCTTTTGTTTGATCTCCTTCACATCCATTCTTCCTTCTTTGTTTGAGCTCATTCACGCTGCTGCTTTGGGTAAAACGTGGTGTTTTTTTTTTCACACATGGTTTTTTTTTTTTTCCCACGTCTGTCAGCATCTGGTGGTTTACCTAACCTGCGTCTAACCTGAAAAATTTCTTTTTCAGATCAGCACGCAAACTTCAAAACGTGAAGTAGTTTACATTCCCACCTAAACCCGACGCACTTTGCAGGTCACCTGTGGGTACTGGCAGGTACCCAACCCAATGCAGGACTCTATGGTGACTCCCTTTCCAGGACTGTACATAATACTTACCTATAAGCAATGCTGCCATGACAGGAGATAGTGCCTCAAGCATCTTGAGGATATATCCTGTAACCTATTTACATAGCATAAATCTCATGATATACAGCATCTTGGATAGCTTTAATCTTCTCCATTATTCTTTAGGAAAGGAAATAAATGGCCTTCCCAGCCCCTAAAGCAGTCATTTGCAGCAATGAGAACTCACTAAATAGAATAGGAACATGCCTTCTCTGCAGGAGAAAAAGCCCTTGCTGAACAGACTATAACCCATGTTTTTAGCAGCTTAGAACAAATTGTTATGGATGATAGCCAGCAGAATGGATACAGAAGCAGAATGGATGCTTAAAAAGTAAATAACCCAAACTTCCCTGAAATGCTGCTGCTGCTGCTGCTGCTGTTTGCAACTAGTAATTACATCACTGTGTTTTAAAATGTGCAAACTGTTAGTGTTTGCAGAATGATACAAGAAGCTGCAGGTAAAAATAAGAACAAAGCAATGCTGCAGGTAGGATGAAGTCATTACGGCAGACAATAACATGCTACAATATTCTAATGTATAGCTCAAACTCTAGAAGTTTGTACAGACAAATAAATATAATGATAATTATTTGTAAGCACTTTAAATTTGTTGTATAATCTGTTGGTTTTGTCTTTTGTTTAGGTATCTTTTGATATTAGCTTTGACTTCAACCTCAAACATCTTCAGAACACATCAACTATACATTTTCAGGCACTGAGGTAAAATATATTACCTTATCTACCCAAATCCAAGACAACCCTGAATTTAAGATGACCCCCCAATAAGTAGATTCTGTACATGGAAAATGTATAAATTTGTCATAATTGTCCATGTATAGAAACTAATTATTGCAGAATTGTCTTAAATTTGACCCCTCCCACATCACTGCACGTAGTGGAGGGCAAACAATTAGGGGGCTATAAAGGAACAAGCAATAAGTGAGTGGTAAGGGCACAGGTGGTGGGGAAGTCAGTAGGGGGGCACATGGTAGGACAGGCAGTGGGGGAAGCAGTAGGGGAGCAGGCAATGGGGGAAGCAGTGGGAGAGGGGCAGTAGGGGGCAGACAGGTGGTTGGTGGGAAAGGCGGCTTGCCCCAGGCTGCCTGCCCCCCACCCAACTAACCCCTCCTTATACCTGCCCTCCCTCACACAGCCTCAGACCCCCACTCCCTGTTGCCCCACTCCTCAGGCCATTTTAGTGCCTCCCCTCCCACCCCTGCAGCCTCAGGCCCTTGCTCCTCTTCACCCATTTTACTCCTGAAACTTCTGTCTGCCTCCTGCCTCTCCCCCTACCACCCATGCTTCAGCACTGGGAAGCTTTGTCCCCACTGCTGCCTGTGCTGGAAATCCAGCACAGCTGCTACAGGGCCAGACTGGGGCCATATTCCATGCTCCAGGCTGCAGTGGAGATGGAGCCTGCCAGTGCCAGACCAAAGGGAAGCAGGAGTGGGACATTGGGGAGTAGAAGCAGTTTGAGAGAAGGATGGAAGAGGGGGCCCAAGGCTGCTGGAGAGAGAGGCATGGGGTGCAGAAGCAGCAGCAACTCCAGCCCCAACATGAGGTGAGCGTCTCCCCCCCACCCCCCAGCGCCTTGTACTCAAATCCAAGATGAGGGGCTTTCCTCCATGTTAAATGAAGGAGAAAAAAATCTCATCTTGGAATCAAGTAAATATGGTATTATATAATTATTCAATTTTTAATGCACACCCACCAAGGAACTGTTTGAGCTAAGATAAAACAATAACATTACTATTACTGCAAGTATAATTATTTTTTGGCCATTATAATTGTGTTATAATGCCTGAGATAATAAATTATGCTTTTGATGAACAGTGAAAGTAAGGAAGACCGAGAAACAGACAATCAAGTCAGCCTATCAATTCCCCTGCGGTATGATGCTGAAATTCACCTCACAAGGTATGCTGAATAAAGAGAGTTGAAGGAATTCTGTCAAGGCCGCCATAGAAAATAGAATTGCCTCTGAGAATTGCCATCAGGACGCAGATACACTATCATCTTTTTTGGCAGTTGTAAGAAACTGTTGCTTGGTCAATGACATCAGACATTTTATTGTTTTCCTTTAATACTTTAAAAAGAAAAAATTCAGCAGATGATTTCTTTGCTTGTGAACAAGGGGAACACATAAAGGACTGTGACTTTAAAGCTTAAACTGTTGTAATGAGAACAAAAGAAGCAGTTAAGACTATTGTGAGTATTTTGCCTGTCACATAGGCCCAGGAAGGGATAAGTAGAGGAAGCCTTCAAGGGCTGTACCTCATTTTGTTGTAAAAAAGGAGGACAATACTGAAAGGAATTGCCCCATGGAGAACTTGGCCCAGTAGTATAACTAAGCCAGGGTGACTGGAGCAACAGCCCTGGGCACCAACTTTGTTGGCACAGGACAAAACTAGCCACTGCCACAGCAATGGCTGTGCAACATTGTTGCAATCATCATGGTGGCAGCTCACACTGCTCCATGCATCGTGGCTGCCCCAGGCGTGGGACTGCCCTGCTTGGCCAGTAGGGAGGGGGACAGGATCTGTGGGGAAATTGTGCTCTCTGAGTATAGAGAGTCCAAGTGGGACTAAAGAAATGATCCTCACCCAAAGAATGCTGAATAGTAGCTTCCGGGATTTGAGGGGATTTATAGAGAATCACAGAGCATTAATCAAATTCCACCAAGCAAGCCCAAATGATAGCCTTTCTGCAGGAACTGGACAATGCCATAAAGTCTTACAGGATTAATATACAGAGGTGAAACAAATATTCCCAGGCTGTGGAGGAGTTAAAAGAACAGTGGGGGCCAAATGGATAGCAACAAACTTTGAGAGAACAAAGCAGCAGTGCCTACTTCAGGAAAAGGAGCCAGGCAAGATTCAAGATTTGCCAAGACTGATCTCAAACTGAAGTGGGAGCAGCTCCTAGGAGAGAAGCCCCGTTATACTCATTGCATGACAGAGCAGGGCTATCTACAGGTAGTGGCTTGAGAACAGAAGGAAAAACCTCTCTCTGAGCTTTGGAAAAAGCTAGAGAACAGAGTTGAATAGTAGCCACACAGCAAGAGATGGTGATGCAGAAGGAAGTAGAATACTTGTGCATGTGCATCCTGGATAAGGACAGTGGACACTAGAAAAGGAGACTATAGAATAGAAGAGAGCCACTGCTGTTCACAAGGGCTAGACTAAAGATCAGGTGAACACAGAGGTAGCAAAAAAATCCCCAATTTAGTAGCTATGGCAGTAACTGCAGTAAGTCCAAAAAAACAATACTGAAGGATACAGACTTAAACCATCTAGTCTCATTAACTGGAAGATACCAGCAGGAACTTGCTGCCTTAGAAGAGGCCAGGCAGAGGATCCCAAGCAGTCCCAATTAAGGAAAAACAAGGTTTACAATTTCAGGTTGCATTTCTGGACAGTGACAAAGTAGGATTTGAGATGCAGATCGAGAGCGTGTAAGAGTCACTCCTAGAAAAGTGAATCAGCCTAAAAGAGATCTGAAGGAAAGAGAGGCCCTGGTTTCTTTGACATTTTCCCTGGGGTTGGGTAAAATCTTAAGAGGAGAATATGAAATAAGTTGTATAAACCCTATCCTAGCAGAGAGGTGGTTAATGGAAGCTCAAGTGCCTATTTAACAACTATGGCTGCACTTGGAAACGGGTCACTGAGTCAATAAATCTGCCATAGAGGACTTGGCTTTTCTTTAACAGAGCAGAGGATGGGTCTTGGGAAAACTTGTATCTAGGAGCTAGTTCTTGGTTTGAGCCCTGAGAAAATGGCAAAAAGCCCATTTCTGTTTTGCAAGATGAAACAGGAGACTGAAAACACACCCAGAAATACCAGAAATTCAAGCCCTGAAGTGGGAGGAAAATGCTGAAGTCAAATTTTGTCTGTTTGGAGTTTTCAGGAGGAGCCCGGGTATATTGAGAAACAATACTGAGCAGGGCAGTATGTTGGGGGACTTCACTTCTGGTGTCCTGGAATTTCTGATCAACCAGGACAACACTATGCGTGTCTTCACTGGAGGGTGGAGTCTCACAGAAAGGGCAGACTGCAGCAAGGACTACATAGACATTAGCAGAGAACGCCAAGCAAAGGCAAAAGGCTGTGGCACTATGCCTAAGCATGAGGGGATTAAGTTGGGCAGAGAGATGCCCTTCAACATCCCTCCAATTCCTTGTATCCCCTTACTGCACTATGCTTTATGCACTCGCTTGCAATTTAGACTCCAATAAGATTTTTGTTTCTTTAACAACTTTCCAAAATCAAATTTAAAACAAGGATATCAATATCTGAGTTTCCCCATATTATACTTCTGAACTCTGATTTGCTGTTTTAACCAAGAAACAATCAGTTACATGGAATATTTGAATATATTTTAATAGCACCTGCCACATTAAAATATTGTTTTCTGGTTGTTCACCAGGCTTACCAACATAAATTTCTATGAAATATACTCTGATCACAATGTTCCTTCCACTGTGAATAATTTTGAAGAGATTGGCCCTGCATTCAATTTTTCAGTTAAGGTTAGTAAATATTTATAAAGATAATACTTAGTGTTGCCTTGCCACCTGTACTGTGTATCCACAGGTCAAACAAAATGAGGTCCTTGGTGTTTTACTCTGTGTGAGTCAGTCAATGATGAAGATGAGTCTAAGTGACTGAACAGTGATAGCTTCACCTCCCTATTTCGCAGCATTCACTGGTGGAGCGGTAAGATTCCCAGTTCGGGGAGGTTTGTCACTGCTAGCACAGGCCCAGATCTTGTGAGACTTATGTGCTTAACACTATACCCTTGTATGTAATCCCACTGAAATGAGTCTCAGATCTACAAACTCAAGTCAGTGGAACTGTTCAGAGTGCATAAAGTGAAACACATGCATTAAGTTTTTACAGGACTTGGGTTATGGAAATATAAATAATTGTTTTGTTTTGTTTTGTTTTGTTTTGTTTGAGTAAAGTTAAGTGCTCTCAATAGGTAATAAATTGAATAACCGCAGTTGTTACACAACTCTGAAAAACGTAGCTTGAACTTGGAGGAAACCTGAATTAAAGAGGCAGCAGTTATTAAAGGAATGTGAATGAGCTGTATTGACTAGCGGCTGTGACAGATCATTTGCTTTATGCAACTACAGTAAAGCTCTGTTATCCAGTATCCATGGGGAATGGGGGGTCCCAGTTAATCAAATATGCTGGTTATCTGAGAGTTATAATTACAGGTTTTTTCAAAAAAGAAACTAAGCCATTTTAACTGTGATATAACAACTTTTAATATTTTAACTATAAGTAATAATACAGTAAATAGTATACTGTACAATTACTGCCCCTCAGCTGCTTCTGAAGGCGCCTTGGGATCAGAGGTTGCCTCAAAATGTGGTTCTGCTTCAGACCATGGCTCTTCTTGAGGATCATCAACATCAATAGTAATATCTGATGCATGACACAAGCTGCCTGGATCCTTGACACAAGCTGCAGAAGCTCTTTGAAGCAACCTGCGGATGTCTGCCTGCCTGCAAGTCAGTTGCCTGTTTTTCAGGAAATTGTTGTGAACAACATGAAGTTGCATCACTTCCTGAGCAGAATAAGACAGCTGCTCAGCAAATTTCAAGACTGTTTGCAGACATTGTGCAGCTGGAGCCCAATCCACTTTAGTTTCTTCACTGTGGTCTTCTTCTTCTGAGTCTTGTTCAGGTGCAGTAGCTCTCTCAGGATGCACAACCTTTTCTCTAATTTCAGCATCAGTAAGGGTTTGTGCAACATCAAGGTCTTGATCACCGTTTACCCACTCCGTATCTTTGAGTTTAGTGAGTGGGTTAGTGGGGTCAGCATTTTGAAGGATATCAGAAATCTCTTTTAATGATTTTTTTTTCTGTCTTACATTGCAACCTGCAAATTCTTCTTCATCAGAAGATCCTTCTGCAAACATCATTGCTGCCCACATTTTTCTCCAAGCCTTCCTTGAAGTTGTACTCTTCACAGCACACCAGGCACATGCCACATTGAAAATTGCATTGTTAATGGTGTACTGCAACTGAAATTCTTGGAGACTGCCTTCATAGTTGAGTAGCTTCCTCATAAAATCCCTTCTGTAGATAGATTTCATGTTTTTGATCATTCCTTGATCCATGGGCTGTATGACTGACGTGACATTTGCAGGCAGGAAGATGGTAAGGGTATTTCCAGACACTAACTCTGCTTCACAAGGGTGAGCTCCACAGTTATCTAAAATTAGAATAACTTTTCTGTCTTCTGGCTTTCCAAGTTTCTTCAGATTCTCTTTCACTGCTGATACAAAGACATGGTGAAACCAATGCAAAGATATTGTCCATCCATGCATTAGCTTGTGCCTTGTACTCAACAGGTAGATGAACAATGCCCTTGAATGCCCTTGGTTGTCTGAATTTTCCCACCACTAGCAGCTTGATTCTGTGTGCCTGCTGCATTTCCACACATAAGCACAGTCAGGCAGTCCTTGCTCTGCTTAAAACCAGCTGCACCAACCTCACCTGCACCAGCCAGGGTAGAAGTTCGCAAATAATGCCAAAGAAGGCCAGTTTCATCAGCGTTATAGGTCTGCTCTGGGGTTATGCCATGCTCCACTACCAATTTCTGGAAAAATGCACAATATTTTTCAGCAGCCTCATGATCAGCAGATTTTTTTTCTCCAGACACATCAAGCCTTCTGATACCATGGCCAAGTTTGAAGCAAGACAACCATCCGTCTGAAAAAAAATAAAAAGAAGGCCTCAGTCATTCCCATTTGTTGATAGAAGTATTTCACTTTTTTGATCAACATTGGGCCAGGAATTGGAGCTCCCTCTGAATGTTTTAAGGCAAACCATTCGTACAATATCTTGTCTAATTGTTCCAATTTTGGTTTGTGCAGAGTACGGCGTTGCTCAGTTGCTTTACTTGTCTCAGAATTCGTCAGGAACTGGAGTAACTCTGATGCTGTAGATCATAGACGAGCCAACATTGAATTTTGGCATCAACCTGTTCCTGTTCTCTCCTTTCTCCAAGCACTTAATTATGTCCAATTTCTGTGTAATCATCAAAACAACACACTTTCGCTTCTGTCCTCTGCTTGTTGATGGAGTATTGGTAGCCATAGTTGCAGGATGGGTGAGATATTCAGCAATAAAGTCACAGCACAAGCACAAGCTCAACGTGATCATAGTGCGATCACAATGGCGGATGAGGCTGTCGCTAGTGACACCGCTTGGCAGCATCCCGAACGGCAAGCTGCCGTCTGTGACAGATACTGGTTAATAGAGAATTCCAGATGGTAAAGTGCCGGATAATGCAGCTTTTACTGTAATAAAAATTTTCCTTAGAAAGCAACCAGGGATTCAAAATTATATACCATATGTTGTTTACATGTATTGATGTTATAATGCAGTTACTGCCTAGAGATAAAAATATTAATGGAGAAAAATATTACAGCAGCAAAAGCAGTTCAGATCTTTAACCAGTCTTGGGTTATGACTGCCTTGCTCTAATTAACTAACTTGTATTTTCTTAATTCTAAATACAACTAAATTAACTGGTTATTTGCTGTGCAGGTTACAACAGGAAGTGTTGCAGTAAACATGGCATGTGTAAAAATCCATCTTCTAGAACTGACTAAAAAAAACAATCTGCTGATGTACCTAACTGCAGTGGATACAGACCAGGTAGAGAACTGAATCATGTAAAATTTACACTATAACCTGTGTAATAAATATAATCTGGGCTGTGATACACGAGGTGCGATCCATGGGCAGAACATCAACAAGTAATCATAGTGTCACATTCAGGGTTGCCAACCCAAGAATATTTTATTTCCTAAGAATCTGCAAACTTTATTGACAAACTTTTTTACTGACATCAGTTTGTACTGATATCTGGTTTACATAATGTAAGTGTAACCCTTCTGCCAGGTCCTGGATGGCAGTAACAAGGGCCAGGTTCAAATTTAAAGATTAAACACCAACTTTCCAAATCTGGCTCAAGCATCCACCCAGAAACCTAGGAAAATAAATTTTTAACTGGGTGTTGGATTTATAACTGGGGAGTGGGGAGGGAAGACAAATGCAGAACCTTAAGGAAAAAACAATTATTAAACATTAAGTGAAACTCAGACAGCTAATAGTCTCAATCACGAGTGAACCAAAACTGGGGAGCTAACACCTAAACCAATCCATTGGGAAGGGAGACTTACCCGAGGCTGCCATTCGGGGGCACCACCACCTCAGACTGTCCAGGGCCTGTCTTCAAGGCAAGCATCCATTATAGACAAGCGACAGCTGACAGAATGCAGCCAAAGCATGTGTCTCAATTTCTTAGGGACAGCTCAATTTTTTTATGGACAAATATTTTTAGCCCTTTTTTTAGGGACAGTCTGTAAATTTATGGACATTGGTCAACCCTAGTCACATCTGAGAGCGTACTTCATTGTTTGTACTGATGCTATGCCTTTACAACTTCAGGGGGAGGGAATGAAAGAAAAGATGGTCCAGTAATCAGGACACAAGATCAGCACTTGGGAGATCTGGGCTCACATTCCTGCTGTCACAGGCTTTCTGTATGATCTTGGGCAAGCTGCTTAGTTGTTGCATGCCTCATTTTCCCATCTGTAAAAATGGAAGCCAAAGATGAGACCAACCTTGTATGAGTGGTGGTAGATTTGACTGTCAGAAGTCAAAGAATCTCTGCCTCAGTGAAACTGGCATTTTCTGAAACACTTGCCACATGTATGTTCCAAAAAAATAGGGTCCACGTACTGGTTTAGATAAAGCTCTCCAAACATTACCCACCTTACATATAGGGAATAGTCATGTAACTCCTCAGCTGGGTCCTCTTCCATATTGTGAGTCAGTCTGAAATTTTTAATAAACATAGATGTTAAAGATACCAGATTATTTCTTCATGAAAATCATTTAATTTCTGAATTGTAAAAACAATCATTATTTATATCCGTAACAATCTAACATTGCAGCTGTAATACTAGTAATGACCGCCATCTAGCAAACTTGTCATAGTAATGTGCATAATCATGATTATGGTTCCATCCCATATAATATAACAATTTCTTTCTAGACCCAGGGTGTCACATGCAGTGCAAACATAAATCCATTGCAAATAGGAAAAACACCTTATTCAGCTTCTTTCAAGAAAGAAAACTTCAGAGCTGCAAAAGAATTGGTGAGATAAAGCTGGGACTTTGACCTTTGTATGTTCCCGATTCAACACTATGAGCTGCATAGGCAGATCTCTCTTAATGCCAGTGGCACTCCACATTGACAGTGCAGGGTCAGGGCTATCATTTGTACTATTGCTATTTTCCTCTTCTTGTCCAAGTTTTTTTTTCTATTTTTAATTTCTATAATTAAACTGTTTCCATAGTGACCATAGTCTCTTTGTATACTCTGTGTGTGTCAGAACAAGTAGCTCTTTTTGAAGAACTATCTCTAGCATTCCTTGCAACTCGCTCAGCGTGGGTTTTTTGTTCATATTTGTCCAATCTATATTAGATTTTCCTATAGAGACCATTTGACCATTACAACTGTACTAAGTTTGTTGTTCAGATATTGCCACAGTGTGGTCACTAATGCTGAATAAATTAATCTGAATGTAATTGTTAAATGACTAGAAAATATATGTTCATATGACATTAAGAAACATGTGAAATGACTCTTCTTTCTGGAGGAGATCTATAGGTAAGGTAGGTTTGTATGGGAATATGAGCAAGTATAAACTTACATAGCTCATTCTGCATCTACCTTACAGATGAGTAAGGTGCTTTATTTATCAAAGCTACCAGTGCAGCATAACTCATAAATTTGGACACAATAACAAGATAAGAGGCTATGTAACCCAGGGCCAAAAGTATAAGATTACTCACCTTTCTGGTTTTTCCCCCCTGCTTTTTCTCCCTCCCTTCCCTGCTCTAGCTTGTGTTTTCCTAATTTCCACCTGTTTACATTCTCACTGACATCCTGTCACACTTTTAGATTCTTTCATTGCTTGAAGTCTCAGAACAGCAGATTCCCTATGCCTGAAGAAAGGTGACTGCGCCCAAACACTTGCAAAGAACCTTTTTCCAACTACTCAGTTGGTCTAATAAAAGATATCACATCTACCCAAAGAACCTTGCCTGCCTAGATTGCAACTATAGTATTCATTAATGTGAGAAGTGCTTTTTAAAATCCTAATATTTTCTCCTCTGATAGAACTGTCAGAATGTACAGTGTACGACAATTACATGCTGGCTGGGAGACCTCAGGATGAAAGGAGAATATTTTGTAAATGTGTCTGCTAGGATATGGAATGGGACCTTTGCAGCTGTAAGTATCAACCATATTTTACAGGGAGTAATTATACATATTATATATACTTATACCTATTGTACACCTAACCAGGCACCGACTCCGTGGGTGAGTAAGCTCAAGCACCTCCCACCAAAAAAAAAAATGTAGTGGGTGCTGACCACACACACAGCAAGACTTGCAGATTTTTTTTTTTTTTTAAAAGAAGCAGCAGTGCATTTACTGGAAGAAGCAATGCATTACTACTTCTTTGACCCAGCCTGTAAAGATTGGGCACTTCAGTGGGGCTTTTTGGCTCTTTAAGCTAAAGCTGATTCAATCAGCTATTAGATAAAAGTGCCAAAAAAGCCCCACTAAAGTGCCCAACCTTTACAGATACTGAAGAGCTGAGTTGAAGTAATGTACTGCCTCTGGGCATGCCTGGAGCTCAGCATGGGAACACATCAAGTTAAAAGTAAAGCACTAAACCACTGGGTTTTGGGTTTGGTTTTTTTTTACATCTGCAAGCACCCACCAGGGAAAAAAAAGTCAGCACCTATGCACCTAATTGTATTTTGTATTGTTTCGTATTTTTGAAAGACTATCTTTATGT